TTACAGATTCACTGCTCTGATTCCCTGTTGTATTTCTTTTGGTTTTGGATAGTCCTTGACAGTTCATTTCCTAGACTGGTATCTGGCTGGTATGATCCTGATTCCATTCAGTGCTTGGCTGAATTCTTCATCTCTTCATTTGATGCTTAGGATTTCAGGATTGCCATTTTCTCTGTTTGGCTTTGTTTTTCGGATCTTTGCTGTAGACGGACGGCGGGGTGCTTCTGCCTATAGTGCCATGTTGCCGGATCTCCGGAGAAGCAAATTCTTGATAACAGTTTCTCTCGGGAGGGGCTTCAGGATGTTCTAGCCTGCCCTAAGAACAAGCACGCCGTTGCCCCCCACCAAGACTAGGTGGCCCTCTTCTTGCCTCCATCCTTCATGCTCTTCCTCTCCACCACTCTTTCTCAGTGCACATTGAAGAATGGTGGCCAGACAGTGCCCATCTGGAAAAGTGCAGCTGAATAGGTATGAATCAGCTTGGGCAGGCGAAAAGTGATTCATGTCTGACCAACTTGGTTTATGCAGTTCAGGTTGTCTGTTCATAATTAAATGATGATTGGTGTGGATGGTGACAGGGGAGAGATTGAATTTACCCTTCCTGTTTTTGTGGAAAGCTGGGGACAGGATGAACAAGGGGAGATGTATTCCCATTTGGCGAAGAACTAATGACACGGTGGAATGGCAGTGATGTTGGCGATTCTGGCACCTTTGGGGTCTTCTATGCTGTGCAGCCTGGTGGTGTGTGGTCCAGAACTCTTTATCGTATTCTCATCTGAAAACCGTCTCCAGGGAGTACACGAAGCTTAATTGATCTACCAGACATAGTTCTTGAATCACTGGGCACTGTGCCTGGGCATAGTTAGGGCTGGAGAGAGGGGTGATGATAAAAACATCTCCCCTCATGTCTCTGCCATCACTCAGATTCAAGCCCAATCCCAGCTCCTGTGTCCTGCTGGTGGTGCTGACTTCCCTTGCTGCAAATTCTCCTAAATATGTTTCTGCCCTGGGCTGGTTTGCTAAATTCCTTATATTTCCTGTGTCCTGTGACAGCTTAATCCTTAAGCCCCTGGGAAGATGAGCCTGAGAACCCTGGTTGTGCTTCACCAATGACACGCCATGCCCCTGCCTCTTCATCTAGTCATAGGTAGTCACTCACTGAGTGCTCACCATGTACTGGGCACTGTACTAGGTTACAGTGAGAGTGGCAGTTGATTGAATACCTACCATGTGCCAGGCACCATATCTCAATTTGTCTTTGCAGCAACCCTCTGAAATGACTGGTAATATCCCCATTTTACTGATGAGGAGATGGAGGCGCAGAGAAGCAAAGTGCCCAAAGTCATAGCTAGAGTTAAGTGGCTAGCGTCAGGATTCAAGCTCAGGCCTGTCTTCAAAGCCCCTTCTCCTTCTATTAAACAATGCCTCCTGTGGTAGACAGGTGTTAGTCAACAACAGAGATCCACGGAGGACTTCTCCTTGGCCGGCTTCTGCTAGGTTCTGGGGTCTTCATACATACCATGGTGAGGTAAGGGTTGAAACAGTCCTCTGTCTCTCTAGGCTCTGAATACTTCCCCACATTCGCAACAGTGCTGTAACCTTTCCTGATCACTAATAAGGCAGAGAGAGAGAAAACCCTAGAAAATGAGGTAGCTTGCTATTCCTAGGGATAAGAATTCCAGGGTGGATAAACATAGAAGTACAGTATAAATAGGAAGACTTCATACGTGAGTAGAGTGAGACACGTTTTGGGGCTGTCGATTGATGCAGTGATGAAGTAAATTCCCCCAATTCAATCTGCCTCCCCAGAGCCCTTTCTTGCTGGTAATTTTCAGTTCACTGAGGAAAGCAAACCCCATTCAAAGCTCCAGACACTTCCTTGGGGTTACTTTTTGGTTAAAGAAGTCTCTTACCTTATGCCATCTCTGTGCCAATTAAATCAGTGGGAAATCTCCTCAAGTGTGAGCACCCTGGGCCTTTACTGTGTAGTTCTCTGTGAAGTTCTGAACTTCACAGTTCAGTTCTCACCCTGCCTGTCTTGCTTTCTCCCTTTCCTCAGGAGTTGACTTTAAGATGAAGACCATAGAGGTAGATGGCATCAAAGTGCGGATACAGATCTGGTGAGTTGGTTAGGAGGAAGGCCTTGGACTGCTCCCCCGCTGCCCCACCATGTATAAAAGCCCTAGGCTGCGTCTGGGATAGTGGCCACTTCTCTGATGGAGAGAAGTCTTAAAAGACTGTCTCCTACTCCTACGTGAACTCTAATTTCTTTTTTAAGAAACCTTATGAGATTGACCGCAAGTCACCAGAAGGCAGGAATGAGAAGAAATTGGCAAACTAACCACTGTGAGTTTGTCTTAGAATAAGGCTGTGCCCCACTGCAGTTAAGATTGGAAGGAGGGAAGGCTGCAGGCCATCATTTAGGGTGGGACCCTAGAGAAAATTCCTCAGTACAGCATGGTACAGTTCCCTGGAGTAGCCACAGCGGGTCTACTGTGGCTCTCAAAGACCTGGAAGCACAGCCTTTGCCAGCATTTGGAGCTGATGCCCAGTTCCAGAATGGTATGGGCATTGCCTTCAGAGGTCCCACAAAGACTGCAGGTATGGCAGCAACCCTCCATCCAGCCAAGTCTGGCCACAATGTCCAAATTGTATAGAGTTGCCTCAGGCTCAGTTATGGTTGTGACTCCTGGTCCAGATGTAGTTGTCAGGAGGGGCCAAGGCATGCTGAATCTTTGACAGCGCCAGCGTAGATGACTGAGCCTCTTCTGCAAAGTCAGGTATGTTTGGACTCCTTTAGGGATCAAAACTCCACTGATTTTCACCCTGCAGCTCCCCAGTTTTTCCTGCAAGGGCACAGGGTCTCCCCAGCTCCTGCTCCTCCCCTCTCCACCTGGCTTCCTTGGTTCCTGCTCCTCTGAGGGCCTGGCTTTCTACTGCAGGGACACAGCGGGGCAGGAGAGGTATCAGACCATCACAAAGCAGTACTATCGACGGGCCCAGGTGAGCCATCATTTTCAGGGTTCAGAGGTGGGAAGCTGCCACCCAAACTCCCAGCTCTGGGTTTCTGAGTTATTTGTGCTACTGATCCCCAAAATAGGGCTTTCAGATTGCCTTCTGGGGAGGGGAGGCCTCTGGGAAGCTTTCAGTTGTCACTGATCATTCAGTCTTCAATTATTCACTGAGTACTCACTGCAGGCAGGTCCCAGTAAGCCCCCTCACCCCCAACTTCCACCCTCCACCCTGGCCAAAGACCCAGGCCAAAGCTTCTAGTGCCTTCCTGCCGCAGGAAGTTCAGCGATGGGCCTAGGAGGCTGGAGCTTTGAAGTTCTGAGAGGGAAGGTGGTGTTTCTGGGTGCTGGGGGAACCTCATACTAGGCTGGGAGAAGGGGCAGAGAGTGGGACCCAGCTTTTAAGGTACCGTACCCCTTTTGGCCCATGACTGTGCATTGTCTGTGTGTGTCTATTTCCTCCATGTCCCTCTCTTTGTTTCTCCCAGGGAATATTTTTAGTCTACGACATTAGCAGCGAGCGCTCTTACCAGCACATCATGAAGTGGGTCAGTGATGTGGATGAGGTAGGAGACCCACCTCAGTGATAAGGGTAGGGAAAGGGGGCCTTAAAGGGGAAGGCAGAGCGAGGGCCAGATGGGAAGGGCCAAAGCTCTCAGGGTTGGCGAGTAAATGCTATCAGGAAACCTTGCCTTCCATACCCCAGTAGCCCCTTGGATGAAGACTTTTGGGTAAGTAAGACATGCAAAAGAAGCCAAGGCTGCCATACCCTCCTGCTCCATTCTCTGCCAGGCATCCATGGCAGTTTCATCCCTGGAAATGAGTTAGTTCAAAGACCCACCCTGTGAATAGCTTCCTTCCTGAAAACTCAGGACTAAGCATAGTTGAGAGACTGGGGTCCTGGTCCTAGCTGTAGAACTGTAGGTAAGCCATTTGAACTCCTGGGGTCCCCAGTTCCTCATCTGTAGAATGAGGGGTTAGACTAAGTCAAGTGTCCTTTCAGCTCTGATACCACTTGTCCAATCCAAGGAAGCACCAATTATAGTATCTCTCCTACCCTAAGCTGTCCCCATGACATCCCTCCGGGACCCCTGGGGTCAGCACAGTGCCTGCATCCAATCAGCCTGTTCTGTCCCTAGGGCTCTTAAACTTAGTGCTGGTTTGTAAACCAGTGTAGACTGTATGGTGGGGGAGAGGGGAGGGAGAAGCAGCACTCACTGGCATCTCTACCTATCCTTTGTCTTTAGTATGCACCAGAAGGCGTCCAGAAGATCCTCATAGGGAATAAGGCCGATGAAGAGCAGAAACGGCAGGTGGGAAGAGAGCAAGGGCAGCAGGTAAGTGAGAGTGAGCTGGCTGAATCCATCCTTGGGTCTCTGGCTACACTTCCAGGGCCAGTCCTAAGAACTGGGATCCAGGCATCTGTTCATCATCATCAGCTCCTCCCATGCCTCCCAGAGTACCCCAAGGTTCTGGGTGACTTGGCATCCTTGGAGAGTTTGCCTTCTGTCCTTCTAGACAGTGGTTTTGGATCCATCCTGAGACAAAGACCTCTTGGACAGCAATTCTCTGAGGTCTAAGTCCCAAAAAACAGGATTATCCTCTTTAAGAGATCGTCTTTGTGTTAGTGATGACAGACTCCAAGTTGCCGACTTCTTCTCTAACAGCATCCAGACATAGCTACCATTTTAGAGTCAGGAAACATCTCCCCCACCCCACCCTCCTCCATACACTCCTACTGCCTTCTTCTTACCCTGGAAAGAGGTAGGAAGGAAAATGAGGGAAGGTGAAGGACCCATGGTTGGAGAGGCCATGGGGACAGAAGGGGTAGGAGGATGGCACTGAGGGAATTTCCAAGTATACAGGGAGATTGCCCTCACAGAGGACAGAAAGCAAGATTGATGTTTCTGAGACAAGAGTCATCCACCCATTCCAGGGGCTTCAACAGCTTTTCTTACCTTCTTTGTTTAATAGCATTCCACTAGCACTTAAAATAGAATTTATTTTTTTGCTATTAAAATATAATACATGGTCACTCTAGAACAATTTGAAAGTGGAGGCAAAACCTACTATAATAGTATTTATTGAGCACTATATGTCAGGCACTGCACTAAGCAAGTGCTTTTAGATGCATAACCCTATTTAATCATTCCACAGCCTTGGACAATAGACACGACTATCATTCCCATTTAACAAATGATGAAACTGGGGCTTAGAGAGAATAAGTGACTTGTCCAAAGTCATAGAGCTGTGAAGTGGCAGCACCGGTATTCAAGTCTGTGTCTGTTTGACTCCAAAGCCCATGTTCTTTATCAAGGTGCCAAACATTTTGGTATCTTCATGTCCTTTGGTATCTTTGGTATCTTTGCATGATATGTATAATGGGTATGTGGATGGGTTATAGGTGTGTTGGGGATAGTATTTGTGGAGCATCTTTTCCCATTCTGTGCTAGTCCATGCCTTGGAAGGAGATCCCAGTCTAGTCTGAGAACTTTACCTACTCTGAGAAATTGTCACGACACAGCCTGGTCTGTGATGTGATGTCAGAACAATGTGCCTAGTGCTGTGGGAGCCTCCCTTCTCTGACCAACTCCCTTTCAGAAATGTTCTTCTCTTGCAGCTGGCTAAGGAGTATGGCATGGACTTCTATGAAACAAGTGCCTGCACCAACCTCAACATTAAAGAGGTGAGATCACTGGAGACCAGCTGCCCTGTCTCTTTGGCTGAGTCCAGCAGAATGGGGTGGCGAGAGGAGGAGGCGGCAGATAGGAGCCGTGATAGTGGAACCTCCCGCTTTGGGCAGATATAAGGCAGCAAGGGAAAGAGGAGGAGATGCTGACTCACCTGTGCCCTTTGGTTTCCCAGTCTTTCACGCGTCTGACGGAGCTGGTGCTGCAAGCCCACAGGAAGGAGCTGGATGGTCTCCGGACACATGCCAGCAATGAGTTGGCACTGGCAGAGCTGGAGGAGGATGAGGGCAAACCTGAGGGCCCAGCAGACTCTCCAAAAACCTGCTGGTGCTGAGGGTCCTTTGTGGGGTACCCGACTCAATACCCGCCTCCCCTCAGGAGGACTGTGGGCAGATGGGAGCCTGGGCTTTGCCCCACTGCTGTCCTCTCATTTGGATGACCCTGTTGAATATCAGTAGCTGTTACTCCCACCTGCCTGGCCCTGACAGCATGGCTGCTGTCAACTCTGAGCAGCCTTGCCCCCAGCCCTCTCCTTGGAGTGGTGTCCTTCAGCCTGTTTCCCCAGCCACAAGCCTGCTATGACCCCTAAGTGCTGCGAGCATGGTCTCACTGCCCCGGGCTTCCCAGACGATGGCCAAGTCTGGAGTCAAGGCCACTTGGAGGCTCCTTCTTTCTCAGTGGATTTTGTCTCCTCTCTGCTTTTTCTCTCTTCTTCCCCCTTTTTGTTCTTTGTCTCCTTCCTCTCCAGTGTGTTTTGTATCAAAGCCCCTCATAGCCTTTTCCCCCTGTGTCCCACTGTATGGCTGCTGGTGCAGCTTCTTTTCCTTCCTTAACCCTGTCCAAGGGAATGGGCCCAGGCTCATGGGGATGCTCCATACCCTCCACTCCAGGGAGAACTACCCCGTCTTTGTGGGTGGGCCAGAAGCTACAGGGTGCTCCTTCCTATTCTCCCCTCCCCAATGCTCCCTTCTTGTGCCATGGGCCTGCCTCACCAGTGATTTGGGAAAGTGGAACATCAAGGTAGGGAGGAAACACTAAACTGGTGGGCCGCAGCCTGGGGCTGTCCTACCTCCACTTGCTCCCCCAGCCTGAGCTTTGGTCTTGCTTGGCTGTGTGCCTACCTGTCTGTCTGGGGAACTGAGCTTAGAGGTGGGTGCTCCAGAGAAGAAGAAAAAAATGGTGAGGGGTGGCAGGGATGAAAAGTCACCTCCATTCTCTACCTCCCATGCAGTGTGGATACAGTTTCTCTCCACCTGGGCTCCTGAATTTACAGATGTGGGCCAGGGCCTGAGGGCACTGCAAGGGCAAGGAGAGCCCTGGGGCCCGTGACACCGACAAGCCACCATGCACTCCAGGAAGAAGAGCATTTGGAGATGAAGGACTAGCTCCTACATCAGGTTAAGAGCCAGGGAGAGCAGGCCAGGGACAGCACTTTGCAGAATATGGCAGCAGCAGGACCTGCTGAGCTCCATCTTCCATTTCTTGTGGGAGAAGAACATTTCCCCACGACCCTCTGGCAGATGTGAGAGGAGCTGTAACCACCTCAGTCTTCAGCTGTCAGGGTTTTCCTGGGACCCAGCATTTGTGGGAGAAGGGCAAGGACCTCATGGGACGAAAGAAAGAAGGCCCTGAGTAGAAATGCTTGGTGCTGTTCTCTTCAGCCTTCAAGATAAAGTGCTCATCTTGCCCCTCCAGCTCCTGAATAGGATGAGGCTTGAGGGTTTGCCAACCACACTGTGGCTACAGGTAGAGGGAATAGGGCTTCCTCCGCCAGAGTTCTTTGTTCAGGAAGAAGTTTCTTTAAGTCCATATGGTCCAAGACTAGCTTGAAGGAGAAGGAACAAGTTGATTACCACCCCTACTAGGGTCCCTCCCCAGTCCCCACTTGCAAGGTGGGAGAAGCCTAGGTAAAAGGATCATTCTCAAGCTACATTAGCTGCACCCACATGGCTGGGGCAGGTGCTGGGCATGGAGCAGTCTTCAACTTAGGACCAAAATCTAGGGCACACACATCTGAAGGAATCCTCCTTACTCCAAAAAAGATGGGGGGCAAAATCACCAGATCTTTCCTGCTGTCTCTTAACCAGGGAACAGCCAGCAGTAGAGGGTAGCTCAGGATTTAGGAACAGGGTAGGTTAGCATAGTACAAGGAAGAGGAGTGCAGGAGTAGTTATAAATTCTTAGCTAATCAGAAACTTTGCTGACTCTTTAGGATGAAGCCATGGCTGTGGCTGGGGATGCTTCCTTAAGGACTGACTCCTTGGGTACTAAGACATATGCAGTATCACATATGGGGCTGGGGAGGTCGGCAGTGCCAACCCTCAGCCTGCCCTCAACCAGGGACTTCAGTAAGGGGAAGTTATATTCAGCATTGGCTCCAACCTGTGGGTCAGTATTGCAGCTTTCCCTGAAGATCAGGCAGAGCACCATTGCCTTTCTCCTAGCCTCCTCAGGAAAGAGGGACTATATTTTTATTGTACCCTAGGGATTCTGGAAGGGAAAGAATGGGGTCAGGACTCTATGGACTGACTAGCCCTATCCACAAGGGCCATAGCTGGGGAAAGGGATGAGACCAGAAGGAGGGATTGGGATTTTGGGGTGCAGCTACACTTACTAGGTACCAGAATCGGCCTCTCACCCGTAAACTTCTCCAGTCCAAGAGGTGACCTGGGATCTGGCATTAGGTCCAGACTGTTGAGCAGGCCCACCTGGCCTGTTAACTCATCACCACCTCTGTACCTGTTGTCTTGAGACTCAGCCCAGCCCCAGGTACCACTGCTCCTGAGCCCCTACCATCTCCCTGTGACGGGTGAACTTTGTGTACTGTGTCTCGGGTCCATTATATGAATTGTGAGCACGGTTCATTTATTTTAAACACAGATGTTTACAAAATAAAGAATATTTCAAACCACAGGTGTGGCTGCCTGTATTGAGTCCCTTTGAGTAGGTTGGTCTCATTTGGGCCCTGGTGGTGATGGGGGAGGGGGTTCTGGAAGGCTAAAGCCACAGCCATGGAATCAGCAAACATTGTCCTCTGATTTGTACCTTCCCTGATGCTACCTGCGGGGGAGCCCAAAGCAAAGCCTCCATGGCCTGCAGTAATAGGCTTACACTGCAGAAATATGATTAAGCACAAGGAAGAACTTGCTAACAGTCGTTGGGTGGATGCTGAATATCTGCGTCTGAGGGAATCTCTAAAGTCAAGATGGTTCTTACCTGTTTTGGATGGAACAGGTCTTCCCAAAGGCATGAGGAAAGATTAAATCTCAGCACTCCATGGAGTATTTAATACCATATTTTGGGGTACGGAGTTGTATGAAGTAGAGAGAATGAGGTAAAGATAGCATGAAGAAGGAAGGAGTACAACAAGGCAAGGCAATAGTAGCCTAAGATCTTAACCTGAACTCCTCAGTTTATGGAGTACTTATAATACTTTATCTCCTTTAAGCCTAACAATTGCTGTGTGAGATAGGGAGGGTGGCTATCTTTATCCACATTCAACAGATAACAAAACAATTTACAGAGGTTAAAAGATTTGCCTAGTGGCACCAAGTAATAGTGGCAGAGTTGGTCTAGAAACCACTGAATTGGAACCTCTGGAAGGTAAAGCTTTGGCATCTCTATTTAGAAAGATCTATAGGTGATTCTCATTTGCAGCCAGAGTTGAGAACCACCTACTGAGGCTTTGTGCTTACTAAGCCAATGCTGTTTCCACAACAACCACTGTCCCTGCGGAAAGTTGTGGGAGTCACGCTTGTTAGTGCATACCCAAAGTCAGAAGCTGCTGGAAAGTGGGGCCAGATGGGTTGAGGTAAAGTTGAAGACAAGGAGGTATTTTAGAGAGCCTCATCAGTTTTATTCTGTCATGAAAGATGAGAACCTGGGAGACTCATAAGGGTCCTAGGTTGCACCTGGAGAAAAGGAAAGAAGAGGGAACCCCCTCAAGGCTCAGCAACTTCCATGGCCTTCCTAGAGAGGGATCATAAAAGAGCAGCCACTAAGAGATGTCTGGAAGCCCAGAAAGTACTGAGGAAGCTCTAGGCATGCAGATAAATCTCTAGCAAGCTGATGTCATTACAGGTTTTGCCCACTGTCAGTGCCAAGTCCTGGCTCAGTGGCTTGGTAGGGAGGCATATTGGCTGCTTCTGAGGACTCCTAGACACAGCAGGGGACATACTTCACTCTGTTCTTCCTGCCATCTCTTCTAGTGGCAAAAGATTCCGTTCCCACTTAGGTAATGAAGGCTTTTTTTTAGGAGCAGCCTTTTGAGATATGTAGGTCCCCGCATACTATGAACACCCATGGAGCAGGTTACAAAACACAGAAAAGCTGAGCACTCTCTGGCAAGTAGTTCTTCCATCTCTTCAACAAATCGGATCCTTAAGAACAGCTGCTCCCCAGCCTTGCTTATTTGCTGTTCTAAGAGACAGTTCCCAATGGATGTGTGCCTGTGAAAACACTCTCTAGCAGTAAAACATTTGCATTGTTACTGAAATTTCACTGTAAAATCCCAAAGCCAGGTAAAGCCTAATTATCTGTTTTACTGATGGAGAAATCAAGGCATTAAAAAAAGAAGAAGATTGTTGAGTTAGTGGCTGCTTGGAAGAATAAAGTGGCATTACGGTCTTTTTCGTCTCTGTGGGCTTCCAGGGTGGGTTTCCATGACAGCCCTTAGCAGACATTCAGATGACCTACAATATATGGCACGGCTGGTGGTGAAAACTCCATGAATATCCTGGCTGGCTCTTCAACCACAGTGGCTTCAACTCCCTGCCCACTTTCTTCAGTGGGGAGATGACCAGCACAAGCCCCCCCCTCTGAAAAGTCTTCGGGACTGAACCTTTGTCTAAGGGGAGATAGGTGCAGCTCAGCCACCTTGAGTTTACCCCCGTTCTGTGACTCCTCCTCACCCTTACCACAGTGAGGACTGCACCTTCTTCGTCAGGGAGGCAGGGGACCACATGCGATATGTAGATGGTATAGTGCTGGGGGGCAAGGGCAGACATGTTTTCCAGGACAAGAAACACACTCACTGAAAGACTTTTCAAGACTTCATCTCTTCAGCCTGGTGCAAGCTGAGGCACTGAAAGCTGTTGCTTCTAGAAAAATCACACACTCTCCTCCTAAGCGTCCCTTTGATTTCGTGTTTGTGGAAAGCAACAGCCAAAGAGAAAAATTTCAACAGTGACAGGTATATTTCAGTTGTAGTCTGAGTCAGGCGAACATGAGCCTGATTCTGTTCCTCATCTTTCAGATCTCAGCCGGCGCTGACCTCTCACTGCACAATTCAGAGCTTGGCACTCAGCAGGCATTCAATAAATGTCTGTACCAAGTGAAAACAACTTGCTGGGGCAAGTAGGAGTCAATCCTTGTGCATCTCTCCCTCCCTTTTTTCCTCCCCATTCGACCTTTAGGGTTCTAGTTTCCTGCAAGTAGTTAATTATTCATGTCTGCTCAGAGATATCAAATTGGCCCTTCCCAGGTTGCCAGTAGGGTGGGGCAGGGAGGCATCTTCGATCGTAGTCCGTAAATAGGAGGAGGAACCTCCTTGTTCAAACAGCACTTACAGGTGGGTGACTGTTTCTGCTAAGTCATCCTGGGGATGCTCAAAGCCCCATTGTGAGATCCTTATCCTTCCTCGTTCCTGGCTCCTCCCCCACCCCCTTCTCTTTAATAGGCCCTTAGGCGGGCTTCTGCCACTCTGCAGGCCTCACTCTGCGCTTCCACCATGGCTCACATTGCCAAGTCCTTCTACGACCTAAGTGCTATCAGCCTGGAGGGGGACAAGATAGATTTCAATACATTCCGAGGCAGGGCAGTGCTGATTGAGAATGTGGCCTCGCTCTGAGGCACAACCACCCGGGACTACACCCAGCTCAACGAGCTGCAATGCCGCTTTCCCAGGCGTCTGGTGATTCTTGGCTTCCCTTGCAACCAATTTGGACATCAGGTGAGGGGTCCTTTGTATTGTACCCAAGGAGCTGGGCTGATGTAGCTTGAGGGGGATAAAGGGAGGGGGTGAGTGAATGTGTGTTGGCGTGTCTGGAATCGTGGGGTATGTTGTTAATCTAGGTCTTTAAGTGAATACCGAGGGAAAGTATGTATGATTCTAACCGTCTGTACCTCTTAGTTTTGAGATTAAATACTGTTTACTGTTTATTGTCTTTATTGTCTCCTCACTATACTCCATGAGAGCAGGTGTCAGGCCTGTTTCTTTTCTCCGTTGTGTCCTCACTGCCTAGGGTATAGAAACCAAAACCAAACCAAATCTGTTGACATCAAGTTGATTCTGACTCATAGCGACCCTATAGGACAGAGAAGAACTGCCCCATAGGGTTTCCAAGGAGTGGCTAGTGGATTTGAACTGCTGACCTTTTGTTCAGCAGCTGAGCTCTTAACCACTGCACCACTAGGGCTCCAGGGTATAGAAGGCACCCATTAAATGTTTGTTGAATGAATGAGCGGAGGAAATAGAAGATCAAGAATCAAACTAGGATTGGACTGACTCAGGAGACCTTAGTCCTACCTAGTCTTGGTTCTGCTGTTTAAGGGGTCTGTGCCCTAGAAACAGTCACTCAAATTTTCTTAGTTTCCTCAACTGTAAATTGGGGATAATACCGTTTATAGGATTATTGTGAGGTTCAGGGGATACAAAAGTAACTTGAAAAAATTAAGTATTATACAAATGCAAACAACTTGTTTATTTAGATTGAAGGTTTAAAAAAATAAATCAGCCACATGGAAAGCGAATACAGGGGAGGGCCAAGGGTTTGCAGCAAGCATGTGTCTCCTCTCTGGGTCACGTGTACCTCTCTGTCTCTGATTAATGAATGGGTCAAGTCGTTATAGATCTTCAGCCCAGACACCTCAAGTTATCTTTTAAGGGATTTTTTTCTATTTCTACTTATGATCTTAATAGCACAAGCAGGCAGAATGTCCCCATGTGAACCCCCTAATTATAATCCCCTTAGTTTAATTCACAGTGGTATGAAGGCAAGGAAAAGATTAGCAGAGATGTAAAGCAGGAAGGCTGAAGTGTCACTGGCTGTGACAAACCTGAGCCAAAACCATTACTGCTCTCACTCTTCCTTCCCTGTCTCAGTCCTCTTCATAGGCTTTGTCATGGCAGGGGAGACAGAAAGGGCAAAACCCCTTTAGCAGTCTCTCTCTTTCCCTAGAGGTGCCTCCAGCCTTATGCCATCATTTCAGCCTAGCTAGTTGCTGGAAGGAGTCCATAACCTACCAGAAGCCAGCTAGCCATTTGCATTAAGAGATAAGAAGTCTAATACAGAGCAACTCTAGGCTTATGGTGTCATGATGCCTCCACTGACTGTACTAATTGGCTCTAGTAGGTTAGAGGAATTCTCTCCCCGAGGAGGATATATGACTCCTAAACTGGGGTGAAATGGAAGAGAGAGAGGATCATGAATAAGGATTATCACAGCACTTTTGGGGTTGTTAGGGTAGGGAATGCTGAGTGGAGATAGGACAGGGATGGCAATGGGGAGGCAGTGAAGACAGGTAATAGTTTCAGAGCTAAAGCATTCATAGTTGAGTATAGTGAGTGAATATGAGGTACAAAATTCTTGGGATAGCAGCCTCTAAGTGAAAGGAGTAATGATTACATATTCACAACCTTTAGCCCTCAAGCACTTATTCCCTTAACTTCCCCTTCCCCTGTGTCTAGTCCCAGCCCTAAACTCTCTATCCTATTTAATTCATGCCTGCAGGTCACTAAGTAATTCCATCTAGAGGACATTTATTGTTGTCTCTAACTTGCTTTTCCTTTGTGGTACGTGAGAACTAGACTTACTTGGATGGGGTCTTCTTTCATCAAAGCCTCCTCCTACTTGCAGTTTAGTTCTAGGATGAGGCAGAATGAAAGCAAGAAGCTGTATATCCCACTCCTTTGGATCTCAATTTCATCCTTAGTTCAATGAACAGAGCAGGGCAGAGGCAAAGGCAATACTCAACACTTATATGTAATTAAAAGCAACAGAGACAAATCCACGGCAGAGGGAGAGGGAAGGTGGTGGCAGGATGTGTGTGCGTGCGTGTGTGTAGGTACGTAGGTAGGTAAGTAGAGGAGGGTGTTCTAGACAGTGTAGCCTGAGATCTCCTTTCCCTTTCTTTCTTCTACCCTAAACTCAAGGTTTCTTGAAGCTTAGGGTATCTTGAACAGATACCTTAAGAACTGCTCAGGGTAGATTGGAAAGAGAAGCAACAGCTCAAAAGTGCTAAATCTTTCAGTATAAGAACAGCGAAGCTAGGAACTGCAAGAATTTTCAGAAACTATCAAACAATAACTGTGAAGGGGAAAACTCTAAGTCAAGAAAGAGCAGGCCAAAACAAACGGGGAAGGAACAGAGAAAGACTGAGACAGAGACGGTGAGGTGGGGCAGTGGAGGGGGCGAGAAACACACAGAAAAGAATGATCTTGGAAGGGAATAGAAGGGTGAAAGATATGCATGGCATGGATCCTTCAGTTTCCCCTTTCCTTTTCCATGCTCTTTGTCTTTTTCCTTCCTCAGGAGAACTGTCAGAATGAGGAGATCCTGAACAGTCTCAAGTATGTCCGCCCTGGAGGTGGTTTCCAGCCCACATTTACCCTTATCCAAAAGTGTGAGGTGAATGGTCAGAACGAGCATCCTGTCTTCGCCTACCTGAAGGACAAGCTCCCCTACCCTTATGATGACCCACTTTCCCTCATGACCGACCCCAAGTACATCATTTGGAGCCCTGTGCGCCGCTCAGACGTGTCCTGGAACTTTGAGAAGTTCCTTATAGGGCCGGAGGGGGAGCCCTTCCGACGCTACAGCCGCACCTTCCTTACTATCAACATTGAGCCTGACATCAAGCGCCTCCTCAAAGTTGCCATATAGATATGAGCTATTCAGCACACAGATCTCCCACTCCATCCAGTCCCTCAGCATCCTTCCTTAGGATTCAGTGTGCCTTCAGGAGATACTGCTGGACCTAAGCTTTCCCTTGAGATCAGTCCCCTTCATTGAAGAGACTGCCTTTCCGGTCTGCCTGTTTCCTTTCCCTCTCCCAACCCTCTGGTTGCTGGTTCCACTTAGAACTCCAAGACGTGGGTAGGCTCTGGACCTTCGCAGAATGATGGCACCTTCCTAAACCTTATGGGCTGTGTCTGAGAAATGTGAAGAGCCTAGGGCCATCCTCCTAGATGAGTCCAATAAAGGGCAGGTGTGGAAACAGTGAGGCTCTGTGTCTTTTTCCTTGATAAAGAATAGAGGGAAGGTAAAAAACTGCAGGTGGAATAGAGAAGCTGGTAGCATACAAAGGTTTGGTAGAGGGAGGCTCTGATTGAGGAGACACCCACCCAATTACTGTCTGGAAAGTGGGCTCTGGTCAAGGTCTACCGAGGCAGTTGGAATTACAGGAAATGCAAATTGAATTATTACTTTATGACTTTTCTCCAGAACTGGGGAAAACAAGAAGGTGGTAAGGGAGGCAAAGAGGAGGAAACCATCCTTTTGGGCCCTTTGGTTGAGGTTACTGGGAGGTCAATTAGAAGATTACGATGGGAAGACGTCATTCTCTCTGTGGGTACTGAGCCAACTAAATACTATCTGCACTTTGAGAAATTCCTGGAAAGTCAGTTCGGTCAACTTTTACTGTTAATAAGGGTATGGAGGTGCAGTTACTGGAAACACAAAGAACATTTTATCCTTTTCCTGATCACCTTGTGGCGTAACATTTATTCTTGACTATTTGCCAGATAGATTCTTTTTTTAAAGTTCACATTCCATCCCATCCTTCTCAAACGCATATATTCAAAAATTCAGGCACAAGATAAACATGTTTAGGCATGAATGACTCGGTTCATTTCTCCTTCCGTGGGGGTGGGGATGGGAGAGGGTGTCTTTTCGTATCTGCCGATGTAACAGCTGTTCACTGTAGAACAGAATCCTGCTGAACGGCTTTGTAAGGATGGTGCCCTAGATTTCTCATCCAGTGTAGGCCTATTAAAAAAGTACCAGCACCACCAGGGCCAGGTCCTATCATGTTCTGGAGAAGATACCTGTTGAAAGACCACTGCTCCTGTCACTTTGCCCCACACACTGTCCTGGAACCTTCCCATTTCACCTTTCTCTTCTTTGACCACTAGATGGCGTATTTTACTACTCTTCATTGAAGTCCTGGAGGGCCAGTTCTCCAATTGGACACACTACTTGAGAACCCCAATGCTGAGGGGAAAATGCTTTTCCCTTAATTATTCTGCTCCCTACAACCATTTTTTTTTTTTTTTATTGTTGTGCTTTAAGTGAAAGTTTACAATTCAGGTTAGTCTCTCATACAAAAATTCATACATACATTGTTATGTTATCCTAGTTCCACAATCATTTTTTAAGTACTTGTGTCATCTGAGAAATACCAGTGGAATAGAGGTTAAGGATCCCTTCAAGTAAGAAGAGTTTTCAACTAATGCTATCAGGATAACTAATGTTATCAGGAGGGACCAGTTCCTGGAGAAGGACGTCATGCTTGGTAAAGTGGAGGGTCAGCAATAAAGAGGAAGACCCTCAACGAGATGGAGTGACACAGTGGGTCCAACAATGAGCTCAAACACAGCAATGATTGTGAGGATGGCACCGGACGCGGCGGTGTTTTGTTCTGTTGTACACAGGGTTGCTATGAGTCAGAACCAACTCCATGGCATCTAACAACAACAATGCTATCTCACTGACTGTGCTTTACTTGGAAAGAGTAACCTGAGAGTGATAGTGGGAATCCCATTGCATCCTTCTGCAGGGCTCTCTGTTAAATTAAGGCTAACCTTAACTTGATTCTTTCAAAAATGCAAGTCTTTTCAGATTCCTGCTCTTGAAATCAGCAGCTGGGGTATGAATTCTTTGGGGGCAGTCTCAGGGCAGGACCACACACCGATTTTACAGCAGTAACCGTGGAGACAAGTTGCTTCCCTGATGAAATAAAATGCAGAATTCATGTTGGATGCTAGCATGATTTGTTCACTATCCTGATAGTGTTTAGCCTGTTGTTATGTCCAATAACAGAGCCAATTATCCCGGATGTTGGTATTATGCCACAGGAAATGCCAGTATAGTATGCTGGGTCTTTCCTATGGGGATCAAGTTGAAAGAATTGTTTGGGGATTCCCAAAGGAACAGGGAATTACAGTATGACTTTGCAGAGACAGTCAGAAAGGGCCATAATGCTGGAAGAGGGCCCCTCACTTGGGCAGAGAAAATGTTATTTGCTTCAGGGGGAACCTGACAAGTTTGTCTCAACAGGAAACAGGAAAGACAGGGTTGGAGGAGCTTGTTTTACAAGGATCTTTAGCTTTACTAAATCTTTAGTGGTGCTGTTGTTAAAATGATGAGAAATGAGAAATTGTTTCCTTTATTCTTCATCGTTGTTTAGCCCCCTTTCGTCCTCAGAAATATCAGTTTGTGGTCATAAACAGACAAGGCAAAGGTTAATATAATCACCCACTTTCCTAGATAAACAGAACCATTTAATCAAATATCCCTAGGGCATTCAGAAAGCAGGGAGATGTCTCGTTAACAAGCCCTCCCAGAAGGGCTGAGGTAATGATACTCAATTTAGACAATGGACAGAATCACTTCTCTAAGGGCTACCTGTACATAGCATTACACAGCTTAAAAATGCTTTCACCTACATTGTTTCATTTGATTTGAAAACCTCTGTGAAAGAGGTGTGTTTCTGTATTTCCACTGAAGAAACTGAGGTACACATAGGCCAAGTGCCTTTCCAATGATCTACCATTAGTAGGTGGCAAAGCTAACTGTAGACCTAGGTCTCCTGACTTCCTTTCCACTCAACCATACTGTATCTCACAATAGAGACTTGTACTACACACAAGAAACATACACTTTAAAATGGAGGCCTCAAATTCAATGAAGTGAGCTCTACTCACAAAATAAAAGAATAAAACAGAAGGACTCCTATACACTGAAATAAAGAATAGTGAACGTTAATCTCTTAGTGGTAATTTACAAGTAATAAACTATATTTGATTGTGCCCAAACTATATCATGTCAATTAATTAGTATTGGAACCCAAGACCATGTGAAAAAGACAGAGCTGGCTAAAACAACAACACAAAAATATAGGCTGAGCTTTTAAACTTAACAGCCCGACTAGCAAGACCTAAGGTCTGTCCATCATGGAAATAGTAGAGACAGAAGGCTGAAATGAGGTGCCATGACAAGCCCATGTTCCCAATTACACCCGCAAGTGATTTCTTTTCCTTCTTATATCTCAAGAAGGAGAGTAAAGAAGACAAATGCTTTTGCCTAGTTCCTCTTTATCTGAACCATAAAGATTAAGTGGAACTGAGTTCAAGAGGTTTTTCTTCTATTAGATCCGCAGAAGAATTCTAAAAGATGGCAAAGCATCACAATACACAGTACGATACTGGTTTAATAGTAATGACACATGAGGATAAAATCTTATGTTTAAAATTTTTGTAATATATGGTCCAAAACAAACAGATAATCATTATATATTCTGCAATAGAAGAGGATGTCAGTAAGGGCATACAAAATCGTAGTCTTGAACTCCAAATGACTAAGTTGGCAGCATTAGCAAATCTTTTTAAGAAGCGACAGTTCAGAAGCTATAATGGGCTTAGTACTGCTATTTAAAGTAATGAAGCATTTTCTGTGCTTTCTGGATTCATTTCATCAAACGATTTCCTCAGCAGGTCAGATACAGATTTGCAACAGAGTGGAAACATTTTCCAGGAATAAAACATCTGATCCCTAAGGAGCAGCTGACTTAACTTTTCTGAGTAATAAATCTCGGTCTGACATACCTAGGTTCCTCAGAGTGCAGCCACTGATACTTTCAACCTCTTCCTAACCTTGCCAGTCCCTTGTACTTAATGTTTACTGAACACTATTGAGAGGGAGTCACTGTACTAGCTGTGTGACCTTGAGAAAGTTACTTAACTTCATGCCTTAGTTTCTTTGGCTCTAAAATGGGGTAACAATAGTACTACCTGCCTCATGGAGTTGTTAATGAGGATTAAATAAGCAAAGCACTTAAAAAGGCCTCGGCACAGAGGAAGCACTCAAACCTCAGCTATTATTATAATTATTGCATTATACAACAAAGTTTTTCCCTGGGCACTGAACACTTTGCTCACTTTTTCTTCTTACAAGTAAAGCTTTAGTTCAGAAAAAAATCTCTTATGGTATGAAGAGGAAACAAACATGTTTTTAATGCCTGACCCTTTAAAATTGGGTTTCAGAATGAGAACTAAGCAACCACGTTGTATCTAGTAATTTACATGCTTTCCAAAGCACTTTACATTTAATTCATTTGTATCTCCTAACAATACTGTGAAAGAGGCATGATATAAATTTTTATTAACCATGTATTATAAAAATGTAACAAAGAAGTCCAAAGTAATGCATTCTTAATGATTATACTGCTACCAAGTGGCAGAGAGGCCCAAATGTTAGGGTTTATGACTCCCAAGCCAGTGGTCTTTCAAGTATGCAAAGTAAGATATTCTTAGATTCCTTTGGAGTAACTGAAACCATTTTTATAATTACTTAATATTAACTAAAACCCACACTTTATTCAGACTGCCTT